TAATTTGCTCACACTCAAGATCAGAATGAATGGTTTTGGCTTTCCACTTAGAGAATAAATTTAGGGAACAAATAGGGCTCCATTTCTTTCTTTGTCCACAGACTTTATCGGACCACAAAGCCATTTGACTTCTGTCATATGATTTTGCTTGTAAAACAGTTGTCTTGCAACTTCCCTGAGTCAGGATCAGCCTGAGTTAAGTCAACAGTTCTCTGTCTTCAATCTGTGTGACCTACAGGCAGCACTGGGGCAGTGCCTTCCCTTTCTAGCACACTGCCCTCTCCTGTTGTATAATCCTGCTCACGAAGGGCCACCTCTATGTCTTCTCTGCTTGTTCTTACTCTGGTTTCTCTAAAGACAATATTAGATCAGCCAAGGGCTTGGTTCTTCAATTTCTAATCAGTTATGTAAACTTTTCTGGTGATCTCATATAATTTTATTACAAATAATTTAGGTAAACAGACCTACAGTGAGGATTAAGGGTGATTAGGCAGATTGATCTTGGTATACTGTCATCTACCTATCATTCATTAATCAAGCATTTATCATCCATATACTATCTACCTAGTATTTTAATCTTCTGTCAATCAATCATATCACTATCAATCATCTATCATCTATTCAACTGTCTGCTATCAACCTATCATTAGCATGTATTGTCTATATCTGTCTATCTATCTTCTATCTATCATCTATCTATCTATCTATCATCTATCTATCATCTGTCTATCTATCTATCATCTATCTATCATCTATCTATCTATCTATCATCTATCTATCTTTCTATCATCCATCTATCTATCTTCATTTATCTATCCATCTATCATCTATCTATCTATTATCACCCCCTAGTCCTTTATTTACTTGTTCATCTACTTACCCATGTCTATCATCTCTATCACTATCTATCTTATCTCTATCTATCTATCTATCTATCTCTATCTATCTATCTATCTATCTATTTATCTATCATCTATCTATCATCTATCTATCATCTCTCCATCCATCATCTTTCTTTTATCTATATCTATTATCTATCTATCTATCTGTCATCTATCTGTCTATCATCTATCTCTATCATCTATCTATTTATCTATTATCTATCTATGTATCTATCTATGTATCTATGTATCTATCTATCATCTATCGTATGACCTCTTGACCTCTCACACATTCTCTCTTGCCCCTCTGCTTCTGCCATGCAGGAAGACCATCTACTCATTGTGGAACCTTGACTTTAAGACTGCCTCGCTTCTAGAATTACAATAAATAGATTGTTTTTTAAAGAAGACTCAATTTTGGAATAGTTTGTTATAGGGGAAACTGGATTAACATAATTGGATATTGTTAGAGTATGAAAAGATGGTATCTATCTATCTACCATCTATCTATCTATCTATCATCCCTATCTATCTATCTATCTATCTATCTATCTATCTATCTATCGATCGATCTATCATCTATCTAATCTATCATGTATGTATGTATG